TGTACGTAACGTGCTTACGTCGCAAAGCAATGAAATAACGTTGTGTTAATAAATGTTTTGTAATTTTATAAACCCTAAAAAACATTTCAGTGTGTCAAAAGTCAGTTCTTTAACTACAGCGATAAATCGATCCACGTTGAGCTTCTTTGGCACTGCGTAATTGATTACCAACAATCGAATATCGCAGTATGAACTGTACGTATGTATTCTCGCCTGGCTTTTCCGTGATATCTGTAAAAATTTGATAGGTATTGCGCAATAACGATTGTGCGAAATGCGTGGTAAGAATATGATGAAATTATAGGGGAAAAGCGTAGAAATAAGGAAATTTTAGGGAAAAACCCCAAAGTCAGGGGAATTTTTGTGGAAAAACGCAAAATTTTTTGCAATTTCGAGGTTTTATTAAGAAATATAAGCCGATTTTCCCAAAGTGTTATAAGATTTTGGGGAATTTTCCCAGGTCTGGGGAAATGTTGGGGCTTTTGTGCCATTTCCCTAAAATTTCTTCTGACTTCGGGGAAGTTCCCCAAAGTTTGGAGCTTAGGCTGGGCTAGATTTACTGGCTCGATTAAGACCTCAATCTAGCACTCAAAAATGTGTAATCGTGTATGACGAAGCATTATGTTCTGGGCTTCAAACACCAATGAATATATCATCTCTTAATTTGTTATAACTCACCTTCTGAAATTGCCTGTTCACTTCATTGAGTCTGTCATAGATTTGGGCTAGTACTTGTACCTGAAAAACCCTTCCATCTATTTTGGTTAAAAAATAAGTTAACTATATATGGTATTAATCTTCTTTAAAACGACACTGCAGCACTCCTGAATTTTAATTAATTCAGGCTTTCAGTCCATATATATACCAAATGCACTACATTTTTTGATTATCTAATACCAAACATTGACATTTTTGCTTGCTTTATATATAGGACATATCTTTCCCTGTAAACTCCTATTTAAATATTTTTCAGTGTGCACATTTTTGTTTTATTTTACATTTGAACATATACTAACATTCTACATCTCTACAACGATCTTACTGCAATTTCACCATTTTGCATGTGTCGTCTTCATTAACGCTCACTATGCTCTAACACATGTTCCACACACGTGTTTTGATTTTCGATGTACATTGAGCCCTCCATTTTGATTTCCGCTTTATCAGCATCAATAGTGTGGACACTATGTACAGTTTTGGTTGGTTATTATTGCTTTTGTTAGGAATAATGTGACATTCTAATAATACGTTTTCAATGTTTACCGATACATTTTAAAAACGAATCTGACTGCATAAAACATCCAGTTTGTGAATGCTTTAATGAAACAAGAGAGTTTTTCAATCCAATCGTTCAGAACTTCTTGATCAGGCAAACACTGATGTTCTTCGTCTCACTTATGTACACATTGATATATGGAATGCTGATAAACCTTTGAAATATCCGCATGTGTTTTCGGTTGTTTTAAAGGTAGTGTGTTGAGTATCATACGTATTAGTTTAAGGAGGAAATATGGAGCATTTCGTGACACGTGCATTCATTGATTTTTAGCGACAAACTGAAAACCACATTTTTCTTTATATTCCCTTGTATGTAGTCACATTTATATTTACAGTCACTACTGCTCAACATTTAAGGCGGAGAAAAATTTAGCAAATGGTGAACGCGCAAAGAATTGATTAGATTGACATTTCTTGATAACGCAGGCTGGGACGCCCTATGTGACCTCTTATTTTCGTGTCAAATATATTACTGATGTACGTACGTACGAAGTTCCAGGTTGTTACTGACTGACTCCCTTCCCAGCCCAAATGTATACTTCAGAAGTGTAAGACGTCACATTACGTTATATTACGATAGGACGAGTGAGTGTTGGAAACGATATGACTTTGACGTGGGATCCTATAGACTAGGTAGTCACATCATGGCATACCTACAATTTTGAAACAAGGTCTGTAATTTCAGCAGCACTGATAATGTACTGGTATGATAAATAAAGAATCAAGTACTCGTTAGTCAAACAGGCGATCAAAATTAAAGCTATGGAGCCTATCACTAAATGAACAAATATTTCTGGATCGCACTTCGTAATACAACCAGTCAAGCCGGATTCGTTTATACCACAAAATTCTGTTATTTTACAATCACTTATAAATCATCGTCATGACTTGGCCGTCACGTGATATGAATGATAAAATTATTTAAACCATTAACACAAACTCGGTTGACAAATCTACTTTTAATTATACTTAAGTAGTGTTGCATTTCCGTGGATTTTCCAATTTGCTTTCTTTTAGTAAATTCACTAATGAAAGCGCGATCAACAGTACTCGACTTCGCCAGTGATTTCTTGCACTGATAGTAGTCAATACTGAAATTAATTGTAGCGGGAATCAATCAACTATGATAGCCTGTGGTGGCTAAAAATTGAAGGGCTTGTGGTTGATAGTGGTACGTAAGAAGAGTGAAATCGCTAATTCACTTCCCGTAGAATATTACGATATTTGTGTTTACGCCAGGTAAGCGTGTTATTAAAATATTTAGATGAGTCACCTTGGACGTCCGAGTGTATGCGTGTTGTTAGTGCGTTAGCAGTCAAGTAAGTCACGTGTTCAGCTGATTTAACAAACTGCATGCTGTGTTGCAGAGCATATCGTCAGCTACGTCGGGCAAGAATGCCAATGTGAACATACATGGAAACTCAATATTGGATCATCAAGTTTGAAGTCCTTTAATCATATGAAGAAATGTGAATACTGAACATGTCTTCAGCAAGAGGATGTGAAGGACGAATTCGTAAGTCAACAAAATTCATTGGATCATTTAGTCCCATTCCATGGCCATGCTGACGCAGCTAATGGATAAACATCTGAAAACGTCCATGAGTTATATTTGCTTTATGTCATGAAACCTGAAGTTGCCAGCCATTTCACACTAATTGGCACATCATCAAGAACACTTCAGATGTGCAGGTTTCACAGCTGCATACTAAGTAAAATGTGTTACTTTCTAATCATTAGACTCACCAACATTTCGGTTCTTGTGTTTATCCGTTAGCGAAAGACTTGCTAAACTGTTTGGCATCACGACACAAAGGCATTTTCACAGGGGAAACAAAATACAAAAGCGTCACCGAAGAAAACACGAGCATGTATGTACCAACTTGAAGACAGTGTTCGTCACTAGCAAATGCAACTGTAGTGAACAAGGACGCAAATGTGGACGATCGAATTTATTTGGACACGAAATTACAGGACAATTTATTAGAATTTCGGAACCATAGATTAGATACTTCACTTACAAAATGTCAATAAATGATCTCGCACTCTAATGTCCCTCCATTTCCACACCAATCATTATTTTTTCTTAGATCTTAACCTTCTGCCTCCAGGTATTTCACTTTCGATTGGTGATACATATTACATCAGTAGCACACACCAAATACTTCAGGTCGACAGTTATTTAGCAAATTACGGCAGCTTGACATCGTTGTAAATATTTGCGTCCATTAAATTTCAGAATTCACAGGGAGATTATTCTGATTCGAAATAGCAGTATTGCAGTTAAAGAAAGACGTTTATTTGACGTAATCACTAATAACAGTTCTCAAATGTCTCTGACAAGTCAGGTTCTCAACTCTCATCCACCAGAACTCCAAGCTCGAATCAACTGAAATCACTAAAACGGACTCAATTACTGGTATACCATCGACAGACAGATTCGAATCAAATATATATAATTAGGTGCTTAGAGTCAGAATGGACTTCATACTTCCACAGGGTACGAGTTCTTTTGTCCTTCGGTTTACAGGACAAGCTCTGAACCACATGTAGATAAATTCGAACACTTAACACCTACCTGAAGTTTGTGCTGATGTCGTTCAGAAGAACGATCAAAATCTGCATCCTATCATTCGTACTAATTAGATAGCTGATGGACCCGAATGGCCACCATCATATTGAGATATTATAGTTCAACAACAAGCATCAATGATATGTATGTACTCGAACGAAATGTAACCAAAGGGTTAATTAACTCTGGGGTGTTTAGCAGTTGAATAAAATGCCAAACTATATACAATAAGGCCTCTAAGTCAATGAAGTATTTTTATATTGGAATGTCGTGTTACGATCACAGTACAGTTTAAGTCAAGTACATTTTGGTTGGCCGTAGTCAAGATTATTGGATAAAATTCGCCACGCTGAATTGCTAAATCCCTCTGACTATTTCGGCAACAGATTACACCCCATCTCGGCATCCAGTATTGCAATTACTAGCAAGAGCTTTTGTACGACGATTTCTACATATAAGATACGATCAATGTAGTGAAGCCGATGTATTTGGATTGAATCTCTATTATGGGTCACATAGCCGGAATTTTGTTTTAAGCGTAACCACTCTACATATTGGTCAGGTAATCCAGAATGGTAATGAACATTGTCTGGTTCTCAGTCGTCTGTTTATATGCATCAAAGTACTGAAGAAACTTAGACGTCAGTATCTAAGTAATCTCTAGTCCCTTGGTGTTTTGCAGACGCGGTCGTTACAGTCATCACGTTTATGGATAGAATCAAGAGTTTGTAAATCAGACCAATATCGAAAGTCATATAAAGGTAAAATAATGTTTGCTCGCATTGAGTCTGTTTTACCTTGAACAATAAGCTAAATATGCTCAGAAAGGGTCCCCATTAACCAGAACCATGTCATTTTAGCGATAACTGTTTGTCGACATATGTTACAGACACATTGATATACGGAACTTCGGCTTAAGAAAATACAAAGTCTAGTTATCTACCGCTGGTATTTTCTAAGAGGATGGTTGATGAACGCAAGGTGAATGTGGACAGCAAACAAGAGACTAGTTTCGATAAATTGATTAAAAGATTCAATTGATATTGGATAGTATATACAATTAATTTACGTCTGTAAAATAGACATTATTTGAAAAATATAAAATAAATGCATAGCAAAAATATACATGGTAGACTATTCACACATTTATTTATGGTAAACGGATTGGGTTTATCTGAAATCAAATAAAAAAAAACGATCAGTACCAATAGAATAAACGAAGTACATGTGCATAGTAAACGACAAACTACGTGGTCAATTCACTTAAACAAAAATAATTAGCATTGCTTTATCTAGGTTATGTGCTTTTTTGAAGTAACAAGCACTACGTTAGTAATAACGAAAGACACTTATCGAATGACTTGTAGCTATACGGAACAACGTGTGAAATCCATGATCTTTAAGATAACCAATGTATTTGGAGTTTGGAAACGCTTTAACCAGTAACACCTAATATGAATCGTGCCCACCTAATGAAATCAAAAGTCGGAAGCGACGGACTTCAAAGATATATTTGATAGGGTATCAATATATCGATTTTCGACTGAACTAGCCTGGCTAGCGATTGTAGGGAATGTCGAGCTCGACGTTCCCACTCGTGATCTGGTGCGAATGCGTGAACGAGCGACTTCAGCTGGGTGAGTCCATTGAAAATAATAAAGTGAGAAACCAATGTCGAAGACTTAAATAGCTACTTATTTTGGGGGACTTATTCACCGCTACAATCTTCATATATTTTGGGAACTATTGTAAGCCATTCGATTTATTTAAGCATGGGGCTTAGTGTTAAGTTTCGATTCTGGTGACGGCTGTCTGGTCACATGACAGTAATCACTGACCTAGACTACAGTTTTAAAAATCGTATTTATTCACTGAATGTATTTCAGCCGTACTCGTGGTTAGGTAGTCCATTTCAAAGTAAATAAACACGTTTTATCGAATTATTTTTCTTTTGAATAGTGACTTATATCTTTCTTAGCCTAAAATCAGCTTTAATTGTACTTTTTGGTTCGATTTTCTGGTGCAGCATTTTGTTATGCTGCATTTCTGGTTAATATTTCGACAAAATGTGGGTCAACATTCTTTATGTATAATCTGACTTGATCGACTTTTCTAGATTTAAATGGATTTCCTTTTTTCGGATAAGTAAGTCTGGAGGGACTAGAGCTATCTTGCTGCCACACAGTCATCCGATCGTTGGTCACCGGCTACCATGGGACTGCATCTGCTTACGATGCTCCACTGCCTTGTGGGTCAGACGTTCAGGTCAAAGGCTCGGGGTGTGGCCTCCTAAGAAAACCATCTGCTTCGGTTTGGGCACCCGGGCAGTATCACAGCCCTCACACAAATCAATTGAGATTCGTGTGGCGCATATGTATATGGTGCCTCCTTGTACCAATACCTATGTGTTAAAATAAATAATAAATAATTCGACCTTACTAAGGTAAACAAATATTTTATGAAAAGAATAACTCATTCAACAGTTGCTGTGGTAGCAGCTACACTTTATGTGAGCTGAAAATACTAACTGGCTACCCAAACCAAAGAATTTGGGGTGGAGTTCCTACTTGCGACCTAGTAGCTGGATGTCAAACCCCTGACTCATCCAGTCAAATATTCTACTAGAGTTGATACGTTCGTTATCTGATATCAGTCAGTCAGTCAGTTACAACGTGGAACTTCGTACGTACGTACATCAGTTCGAGTTGCCATACCACATTAGCACAGAGATTCAGTTATCGATTCAAATCCCGTAGTGGAAGAGGTAGTGATAGGGAACATTAGGGTTTGATGATGTTATTTAAGGAGTATAGTCCAGTGGAATAGATTTGGAAAGAAAATAAAGGACATGAAGAATACAGAAGATTAGAGTTTGAGAGAACACAGAGTGGATGTACCTGCGCCATTGCAAACGAATTTGGGCCATGTCATTCAAAGTCTCTAACCATCGGTTGCTATCGTCTCGCGGACCCCAACCAAGTAGTCTACATCTACCAATATGGCTCACTCTACTTGTCAGAGACTTCATGGATTTGTGCCATGTTTTAGTCTGGCCGCCCCTAGCTTTCTTCCAACCTACTCCTACACCAGAAAACATCGCACGTCGGGGCAGTCGGTGGTCGGGCATGCGCAGCACATGTCCCAGCCATCTCAACTGATTAAGTTTCACTACTTCATCAATTGATTTGCCATCCTTACCTAGTACCCGTTTCCTAACAACTGCATTACTTACTCGGTGGTCCCAGGATATACGAGCAATGTTTCGAAGACACCTATGATCAAATACTAGTAACCTACGAATATCCTCTACTCTTACTGGCCATGTTTCACTGCCATGAAGTAGGACGGAACGAACTGCTGCACAGTAAACACGTCCTTTGGTTGATAGACGGATATCTCGCCTACGCCACAAATGACGCAAGTTGGCAAAAGCTAGTCGAGCCTTCTGTATCCGTACTGAGATTTCGTCACACACCAGACCACAAGGGCTGATGAGACTTCTGAGATAAGTGAAGCGGTCGACACGCTCAACTACTTCACTCCCTATCACTAGTTTGGGTGCCGACGCAACCCAATCCAGAAGCAACATTTTGCATTTCGAGGGAGAAAATCGCATGCCGAACATGCCTGCATTGTTGCTTAGAGTGGTCAGCAGACTCTGCATTTTGTCAGCGTCTTCACTAAATAAAGCTATGTCATCGGCATATTCTAAGTCAACAAGCGGATCTCCCGGTAGAAGTTCAACTCCTAGAAATTTAGATGAGGAAAGTGTCATCTCTAAAAGGACGTCAACAACAAAGTTAAACAAGAATGGAGAGAGTAAACAGCCCTGACGAACACCACTTGAGGTAATCAGTTCTGATGACAGTTCGCCATAAGCTCTCACTCTACCGGTTGTGTTCAAGTAGAGAGCCTTTATAAGGTTAATGTACTTCTTTGGTACTCCTTTCAGTGACAAACACTGCCATAGAATCTCACAATCAACAGAGTCGAATGCCGCCTTAAGGTCGAGAAATACTATCATTGGGGGGAGTCTGAATGTGTGTCTATGTTCTAGGATCTGACGTGGTGTGAATATTTGATCTATACAACCACGTCCAGGTCGAAAACCAGCCTGGTTTTCGCTAGTCTGCTCTTCACGAGCTTTGGTTAGACGTCGAACTATTATTGAAGCTAATGTTTTAGACACTATGTTAGTCAAACTAATTCCTCTGTGATTGTCACAAGAAGACTTTTGTCCTTTCTTATAGACTGGCACAATCAGTGATTGAGACCAGTCAGATGGGATTACATCCAGTTCCCAGATTCTACCTAAGACCTCTGTCAATCTCGCTGCTAATACTGGACCACCATCCTTAAAAATCCCAGGGGTAAACCTGTCAGGGCGTGCTGCTCTCCCACGCTTCAGATTTCCTATAGCTTTTTCAACTTCGTAAAGAGTCGGAGGACTTACATTAATTTGCCATTCATGTAGATTGGACATCGTGAGAAACCGAAGTGTGGCTGAAGGCCAGTTGAACTGATCCCTAAAGTGTTCTGCCCATCGATCCAATCTCCTGGATTGAGAATGAATAATATGTCCATCTTTCTCTGAGATTGTTTCGCTAACAGTTGGGTTCATAATACCGGTTTCCTTAACAAGTCTGAACAGTTGCCTGCTGTTACCTATTGCCGCTGCCTTTTTCATCTCTCTTGCTTTCGCTACCCACCACTGTTCACGATCATTGCGTAAGCTTCTAGTCAGCTTACGCTTAAGCTGACTCCGCTCTTCGTTATGTTCAGAGCCAGGTGGAATGAGTTTTCGAGCATCTATCAGTGCGGTAGATGCTGCTAAGATCCAGTGTTTCTCCCCAACCTTATGGTTTACCGTACTTGCAGACATCACTGCTGTTTCAACAGCTTTTCGGATGTCATTTCACGCTGCCTCGGGGTGGGAATTAGTTACATGGCTGCCTAACTGTTTTTTCTAGTTGTTCCTGAAATATACTTTTAGCTTGACTATCAATAAGTAGGACCCTAAGGAGTTTCCTTGCACCATCTTCCTACGTCCAGTAAGGCGTAGACAAATACGCGCTCGCACTAGAGCATGATCTGAGTCTAAGCATGTGCACCAGAGTGAGCGACAGTCTTCTATCGAGCCCCTCCATCGGTGGCTGATAGCGATGTGATCTATTTGGGTCCAGCATTGGGACGAATTAGGGGGTCACCATGTTAAAAGATGTTTTTCCTTATGCTTAAAGTTAGTGTTTGCAAGAAACAGGCGGTTAGCCGAGCGTAGTTGCAACAGACGGTCGCCGTTATCTGTTCTTCGAGCCGCGACACCATAAGATTCACCCAGGTGTCTTTCCCTTTCGCTTAGTTTATCTATTTGAGCATTAAAGTCCCCAGCCACTATTACTACATCTGAACGCCTGGCTTTTCGGAGAAGGTCGGAAAGCTTTCTGTAAAACTCATCTTTTACATCATCTGAGCTGCAGTCAGTGGGAGAGTAGGCAGAGACGACGAACAGGCAACGACGAGTGTCCCTATCTTTCCGAGTCCTTACTGTTCCGTTTAGTCGGACAGCGCACAAACGACTGTCTACTGGGATCCAGTCTAAGAGAGCTAGTTTTGCCCTAGAACTCAATGCTATACCTACGCCAGCGAGGTCACGGGAAGCAGCATCAGGGCTTCCAGATACACGAAGCGTAAATCGAGTTGGTTCGTTACTTTGACATGGTGCGGTCAAATGAATGACACTACTAGGATCCTGTGTGCGCGTTTCGGAGACGCAGCACACATCGATGGAGCGAGATTCTAAAGTCTTAGCTAAGGAAGCCTGTTGTCCTAATTGGCACAGTGTTTGGACGTTGAAAGCTCCTACGTGTAGTTTAGAGCGTGGTTTCAGGAGACCAGGAATAACGTTCCGCGTACTCGAATCGTTTTGCACTAGCGGTGCGAGGTGATAAAGGGACGTGAGAAGGGTTGGTCGTGGAGATAAGAGAGTTATTAGGTGTAGGAAGGATTTGAATGTGACCAACTTGGTCTCGTGTGCTGTTACGGGTATGAGGGCTGATGTCACTTCCCGGTTGCCCACACCGTGGAAGGGTATTTCTTGAGGAACCTGAAAAGGAAATCGGATTATTGTTGGTCTTAGCGACCTAGCTATGTATGAATCAATAGACGGATATTGAGAATATTTAACAACATGAAAACGAAAGAAACTAAAAAATTGTTGGAATACTTTCGGAAAAATTGTTTAATTCAAGTTCGGCTAAAAACTTGCTCCTTTGCCGATAGAAAAGGTAGCGAGAGTGGTTGTACAGACTTATTTTGGATGCAAAGGTTAGATTTATGAACATGGATTACGATAGATTCAGCAATATGTAACAGATGAACTCGTAAATCATGTGGTTAATTAGATGGAATATGGTGCATAACCTCAAAAGAATTATTCAAGTCAACTTGATGTTGTGTCTACCAAGTGAGCGAGAACAGAACTTTTAACCACCCTTACATGTCCTTTGCTCAATTAAGGAGGACGGTGTTCTGATATACGATGACAAATTAGCCGGATTGTACGCCCTGTATAACAACAAATTTGAAGGAGTCCTTGACACCACGATTAATAATTTTGTTGTGCAACGGTTCGAGAATTTGCACTAAAAATTTTACTGTAGTGTGACAACAGACTGAATTACTTATATTTAAAACGGATAGAAGGGACAAGTCACCTCTATTTATTTTTGACAGATTATATAATATTGGTGTTATTTCTTTTGTAGCTCTTAACATTTCCAACACCTTTTCTGAAATAAAACCTTTTTGTTTAATTTGTTTCAATAATTCTATAGGTTATTTTTTAATTCTGTTTACCATACTACTTTTAATTACCAGTTTCGGAAATTTACTCCTATCAATTAAAACGGCCTTTACCCTGTTTAAACGGTCGCTTTTATCCATTAGCAATAAACCCTGACCTTTGTCTGGTTTCATGATTGAAAAACTGTGGTTAGTTTTATGTTTCCGTAAACTTTGCTTGTGTGTTTTTGTCAAAATCATTTTCGAGTTATGCTTATCATTTAGGTATCTAAAACAACAGTCCACTAAGGTTGATTTGAATTACTCCATATCATCTTTTGATGGAGTTAAGGACTCTGCAGTTTGAACATGAAAGTTTTCAATTTGAATCTCAACGTCAATTTTATTAACTGTTTTTTAAGTCACAAAACTTAGGCCCTAGTGATAACTCTTCTAACTCAATCTTATTGAGATTAACAGTAGAAAAATTGTGTATATACCGAGATGGGAATTTTCTTCTGGAATCTGTTTGTTTAGGTTTTACTTTTCCTGTATCAACCGTCATCTTAACGTGGTTCGGAAATTGTAAAATGACGAATAGACTGGAAAAAGTTCCTTTCAATAGGTCTTTTTATCAAAAGAAACCTTACACCACAAACTTTTCTTTTTGAGATATATTCGAACATTCACTAAGGACCGAATATAGCGACTACCTGAAATAGTATAGTCTCAGAAAAATCTTCATTGAGTCCCGATTGGCTTAATGTATAATCAAGTTTGTAAATGGTTTTCACAACTTTGACAGAATCCTTTGTGTTGGTTTTAAAAGATTTGAAGGACTACATGACACGGATTCAATCATAATACTGATTATTAAGTTTAGCCAAGATAATCAATAACTTCATGAATGTTCCATTAGTGTTGAAAAAGTGATAAATCAAATACTAAATTTAAGACAGTACATACTTGTTTTATCTTCAATTCATTTCCAGAGAACTTCACACCTTGTAAGGCTTTTACAAGACGGACTGCGGCCTCCGAAGTTTCCATGATGAGATAAGCGTAAATAGATGGGGGTTTACTCTTTTTACTGCCTACTATTTTTATTGTTTGGACCTAGAAAAATCCACATTGAGAATCGTAATTACATTGTAACGTACATAAAACAAAATTATGTTTAAAAGTAACCATCAGTAAGACTGAAATCATATGATTTCAAATGATGCTTGTTAGCAAAAAGCAGCCAAGCTGCCAAATGCCCAAGACACCAAATGATCATATTCGCCTTTTATCATCAGATGGTAAGTATAACCTGTCTATACAACTAAAACAATATTGTTTAGATATCTCGTTTTCATATATATTTGCTGAGATTCAAAATATGGGTAAGTACAAGGTTTAAAAAATGAAGTTTGTATGTCGATTACACCTAATTATAAGCCAAAAAAATGTAAAATAAATGAGTGCTTTTTATTTAGCATGACACATTGGAGTACCCTTTGAAAAATTCTCAAAAAATCTAAAAACTAGGACAATAACAATGTAGGGAACATACCAAACAAAATTTGTGGTGAAATGCTAAAATTTGACCGATTCATTTACAGTCGCAATAAAACCCTAGTCGGATTATTTAAAACCATGTTGTCTTATATATATATATATATATATATATATATATATATATATATATATATATATATATATATATTATTCATCAGATTTAAGCCTTACTTAGTAGTTTAGAAAGCGAAATAGATTGACAACTCAACATTTTCGAATTAACTCATTCGTTAAGGTACACTCTAATTGTGAGGGCTATTGATACCACCCAGCTGCCTGAACTGAAGCAGGAGCGACGGCTGTGACCAGGTACTTGGCTTAATAGCTGAAAATAGAACGCCTTAACCACTAGTCCACTACTCCTGTACAGTGTGGTTAACAGTCTTCAGGGTAACGTAAGAGTCAATAATAAAAAATGCGTGTTACAGGAAATTAATTGGCTATACGAAAGTATGACAACACTTTAGCTGATGGATAATTTTAAGCGAAGTATAAAACACCCTGAACGTAATAAACCGTACTTATTTGACTTTAATGACCTAAACCACGTGAAATATTAATCAGATGATTGATAAATACCTAATTAAAGAATATTTATGACCATTATGTAGTTTTATTTTTCCGTTTTATCAATTACTTCAAATGAGAACTGCAGTTCAAATTTTACTATGTTTAGATTCTAAGAAAGCAGTAATCGTTATCGATAAAAGACAGTCAAGAGGACTACAATATCAACAAACAACTTACTTTTCCGTATGGTGCACACATTTCTTTAATATCTACTGCTCGAACACCTTGAGGGAGATTGCTTATCCATAAATACTTTGACGAGGATACTACGAAAATAAATGGAAGTTGAAAGTATACTCAGATATATGGTTATATATAACGACTGTGAGGTATTAGTTTAACACAAGAAAGGTTTAGGTGAACCAAATCCTGAAGAATACTTTATGCATAAAGTCTGTGATTCAGGTAATAGCAGTTAAATTACAATAATTATTCATCAACTCATTAAAAAAACTTCGTTATTACTTGAAACTGTTCGACAGATTTAGAGTACTCAACTTTTGTAATGAAGATTACAGATGAATTGAAGGGTCCGAATTAAATGAACACGAATCCCAATAAAAGTCAACTTGTGATATAATTCAAACAAATTTCGTTTTATTCAAGCAAAAATGAGTAAACTCTAGTGGGTAATAATAACCTTCATAATGATGAGACAACACGAGAATTGAGTCAATAAAGAACTGTCGGGAAAATATATAATCTTTACATACGATAAGACCATCCATTATGTTGTTTCTAAGTAAAATGATCTACTCCAAAGGATATATTGTTTTTATTGGCATTGTAAATTCAGTTTTAAAATTATGTACATATAAAAGCTAGAGCACTATATTTGGATAAATTTCAATCACTTACGATCGCATTTTGATCCATCGTTTGTTACATTTTTCGTATCAGATGGGGAATTAGAGCGATTCGAATGTTCAGGATGGAGTACAGTAGAAATACCATGAAGACCCTCATTAGACGATATACATAGGCGCTTAGAATCATGATGGTTATGAAAATCTAGCTTGGATTGAAGAACCGGATCATTGGCACACTGTAAAGAAAGAAAATATACTTAATCGTGACAATAGAACGTAAGGAAGCAGTAAGTACAGATGATAGGTTGAATTGATTCAATATCTTAATTATTTTGAATGGCGGTATTTTGGGTGGTGTAAAAATCAATGAACATGGTACATCTCGATAATAGGAACAATAATTTATCTTGTAAATAAGATCAACTCATTTGGAAAGGAAAAAATGGTAAAGAACTAAGCTTCAGTCTTGAATTAATAGGACACGGAAAAATACTAAATCATTTTCATATTAAACGTGATAGAAATTTTTTTTAACTTTCATATGCAGACACGGAATAAAGGAATTAACCAATGCAACTTAGCAATCAATTACCGATTCCTGTACTTAAAGCTTTTGGAAACTATAAACAGTAAGTGGTTACTGTAGTGAAATAGAAGGGATAAGACCTAGACCTAGGATTTTATGACTGGAATTTGAGTGCATAAACCACCAAATCATCACTATCATCAAGCAAAAATTCAGAGTTATACATCAAAAAATACTATATGCTTAACAAGTAATAGCAGAATTATTACACAACAACAAAACTTTTTGATTATATAATCTGGCAGAATTCTATATGTTAAATCAGACACCTAGAAAGTTCGAAACTGTCAAATATATTTTACTAAAATTAAAGAAAAAAATCAAATGGAGTTAATCAAGGTTCAAAAGTGTAATGGCATTTATTTAAAGTTGAAGCAGCAACGAGGGGAAATGATGATTCAGCTTGAATTCAAGATATATGAAAAAGCTTCCTAAGACAGCACAAAGGATGTTAGTTGATGGAAAACAATAACCATAATCGGTTCCTTAGTCTTGCAGAAAAGTAAATATTAAAACGTGACGTTCGAAACTGTTTTCCGAACTATCATTGTTTATATTTTTATTGTACAGTAAGTAAATGACTGTATAATTGCATATCTATATTATGCTTATTGTAAACTTTCATTTGACTCACCAACCATCGCCACACGTCTATGCCTAAACTGTTATCAATCGACTACCTAAAATTTGCCCGTCTTCACTACCACTTTTAGATTGTGTTTAAACTACGATTTTTTTTATTTTATGGTGTACTGCAGCCCGATTCTTTGTGTATATGAGCCAATGAATGCTTGTGATAATTCCTGAGTTGTGATAGTTGAAATATGATATAGTAGTTTGACTGCAGTTTTCCCTTTGGACTCAGGGTTAGGGATAGCAAACGATTCATATCGGGGAATCAATAAGAGTTAAACTATGTTAGCTCAAGACTAATTGTGTTGGTTAGAACGCATCATATCATAGGTTAAGACTTAAGACGGACATTAACGTAATATTAGGCATGGGCAGAGAAAATACCACAACTCTGACTGGCAAACTTAGCAAATGATATAGATCAATCGTTAAGACACAACACTGGTGAATTACCAGGGCCTATATTTATTTATTTTATTTTATTTTAACACATACAAGAAGGCACCAAAACCATATGCGCCACACAGATCTCATTTGATATGTGTGAGGATATATATAAAACGGCTAGAATAACGCAGCGTTAATATAAAAAACTGCAACTTACAGAGGATGCAATGTTAGGGGGAGGTGGTAATCCAGTGGGAGGGAAGAAAACTGGTTGTTGTTCACTAGATAGCGTAGATGTATAATTATGAACTTGTAAATAATAATTCAGATAGTGATTAAAATAGCGATGCCACTGAGATGTATATTCCTGTGTATTAGGGGCTAAGTTACTCCCGGTATTAGTAGACATAAACTTTAAAGTCTCTTGATAAGCGGAAGAATATGCCATCGAATAAGCAGTCTGTATACTGACTGACTGTGCGTGGTTAGGAATAATTGCCTGTATATGAGGATTTTGACCAATGCATTGATTAGGTACATCTCTGAGAACGTCATGAAGAAGTTGAGACGCCGGGATGAATTTGGACGGAGACACAGATGCTGGACGTTCGACGGCAGTAACAGGTATCACCGTCGGTGGAAATGATTGAAGAGACATTGAAGGAGGAGAACCAATAGGAGTGCCGAAAGGTGGGGGTTGGATGCTAACATTAGGTGTTGACCCAATAGTAGCTACAGCACGCTGATAGAGTTGACAGGCTTTCTGATACATCATATGCATCTGAATAAAATAAATCACAATAAACTCTCAATAACTCTTGATAGCCAAGGGCTAACGAAGCAAACGTTCATATTAGGCAGATGAAAAATAAAGTAGCACAATAAAAATGCATAGAAAAGACAAACTGGATCTGTAAGAGTATAACCCAATTACAACTTATTTGATTACGTAGCATGATTTTTAAAAGCTTAACTAGTTTGTGAAAAGGTGACATATTATTTTCATGGCGAGTTGGCAGTCTAAAGAACGACAATAGGATGTTTAGTGGTTGGTTCTTTATGAAGCTGAAAGTGTTCATTGTTGAATTACAAACTGGAACATAAGTTTTAAAAGGCTCACTAACTTCAGCGATTTATCCTAATTGATGCTAGAATACTATCAGATGCCTAAACTTTGAACATTTTATCATATGTACTTAAGTTTGGAAATTAAAATTTTATCACCAAGTTTAGACGAACTATTGAAACTGATGAATTGAAATTAATTGACTCCCCAGTATTTAAGCAGTTCGTAGTCAAACTTATCACATAAGATTGAATTTTAGATAAAATTCCGTTTTGGAATATGTGTTGAATTATTTGATTTACTATGATGTTGAATCAATCAAGTTACAAAATCAAAACGGTAATCTAGCCCTAATACAACTTTACACACTACTGTAATAAAACAAAAAATAGCAGTGACGTATGGTTTATTTAAAATATCCAAAAATATATACATAACACGATGAGTGGTTCTTACCTTTTCAATTTCTTGTTGAGAACCTAATGCAGATGAAGGAGGAACGGCTACCTGCCAAGAGCCAGACAAACCAAAACGATTATCACCGTTGATGTTTTCGGAAACGGCCTTAACAGAAGCGACCCTTTGCACAGAATTTTGTGCTAGTTTTTGTGTCCCACCAGGGACAAAACCAGGAAACACACTCTGATGTACTGTATTTTATGGATAAAAACAATGTTAATTATAAGTACAATATACTGAAATAAATACAGCTCCCACAAATGAATTTCATTTATCATTTAAATACATATGCAAACTTGTTATCAGACCTAAATTCTCCAGGTGATGAAACAAGAAAAAGAACGCCAACACTCAACATGATTTTATATTTTATCAAGAGATGAAATAAATATTTGGGAAATAAATAAGCCATGTTATGTATACAGTATCCACCGAAACTTAACTTCCAAAAAAAGGAACTGTAAAACTTTATTACTTAAATACTTGAGTATAACAAACTGTCAATGATAACGTTTGCATATTGAAGCTACGATAATCATAGGAGAGGGTATAATATAAGACACGAGAAACAGAACATACAAAACTCATAGACGTATATGATTAATTTTCCCCCAAATGCCCTGGTACGGCCGAGAGTGGGGAGAGTCCGCTCTCCCTCTTGAAATACTCTCACATGGTCACGCGTATATAGCCTCTGCCAGGGAAGTCCTACTCACTGTCTTCTCGTGGCGGGGGTGTTGTCTACGAAATTGAGAGGACGAAAAGCGAATTTCCGGCGCTTTAACCGGATCCCAATCCAATGGTGCACATGGGCTCCAATATCCTGAAGGAACAAATGGCGTATGAACCAATCGTTGGTCACCGGCTACCATGGGACTGCATCTCCTTACGATGCTCCACTGCCTTGTGGGTCAGACGTTCAGGTCAAAGGCTCGGGGTGTGGCCTCCTAAGAAAACCATCTGCTTCGGTTTGGGCACCCGGGCAGTATCACAGCCCTCACACAAATCAATTGAGATTCGTGTGGCGCATATGTATATGGTGCCTCCTTGTACCAATATCTATGTGTTAAAATAAATAAATAATAAATATGATTAATTTATCATGTTTTGCAACAGTACGCAATTTAGCGAAGCTAACAATGGTTCCAAAGTAAAAGGCTGTGTAAACTATGGAAATGGAGATAACAAAGGAAAATGAAAGGAGAGAAAAATGGTATTCTATTAGCAACGGATATTCTATGCAGTCGGAGGTGCAATTGTGGTCTGAACAGGTTGGTCTTCTATAGTAGAAGCCTAACCTACGGTGTATTAGAACCAACAGTTTAAATGTTGTGCAAAGTAAGACTTTAATTTTACTAGATATAAGATGGTCACTCGTAATGGCATAATATGATACGTAAGTAAATTTCATTCACTTACTAGAGAATTTAAAAAACATCCAGACTGGTTTGAAAAGGTTTTAAAACTGAATACCTTCGACGATTCCATCAGTTACTAGTCGATTTTATCAAAAGCAGGAAATATGTATATAAAAACTTAACAGAAACTTTATGAAACAAACGATTATGTATTAACACTTACATGCCTTAAAGGGTAAGGAAGCAATAAACTAAGAATTTGGATGGGGCTTCTGTCTACCGATATTTATGACAGTATACATGCATCCGAAGCTATTGTTATGATAGTGAGATGATGAAATACGTTAAAGGTTTGCAATTGTTAACTTCACAATTCTCGGGTAGGTATTCAAATCTAGTTTCAAATATAAAGAGCTAAACATGAATATTAATGAGCTAAAAACAATTTGTATCTGGTTGTAAATGCCAGTTTGTCACTGACTTTCTCTTGCCTTCAGGTACATATAATAATTAAATTTATAGCTGCCTTTATAAAAGGCAACAGCAGTAAAGACAAAACACTCGCAAAAATTAAGCTTGAAAATGCACATACCTCGTTGAGAGGAACTGGGATAGGAAGTAGAAGTATGACTATGTTCATTCTGAAATAAATAAAAAACGGAGTTGATGAATTAAAGGATTTTCAGTAGTCTTCAGTTATAATACATCGTTACATACTGTTAACAAATTAATCTAAAGCACCAAATACTGATAATCACGAAAATAACTGCTTTAAAATATTTTTAATATGAAAATGAAACATTCAATTAAAAATACATATAAATTATAGATTTGTGTATAACCACGTGGTGGAAATCTGAATTCCCTAGGTGGCCAGAAGTTCAATACACAAAAATAAAGTTAGCGACCACATAACTGACGTGCTCAACTACTATATGGTATACATTTAATCTGGACGCTGATGAAACAATATGGAATCAGCAGTTTGGAAAGTCACACGAATCCCAAACCTTATATTGCTACAAAAGATGCTTATTAGGAGAGACTGTGGTATTGATGAATCTTCCAAGGAAAAATAGGTCAGTCTACACAATATCAGATAACGCCCGACCGTAGCTGCTACCTTGACGTGGTGGTCGGGCTTGCCTATCGTGATGACCCAACCGAGCTATATTAGCTGGAACACATGTTCCTGCAGGTTCTACCATGCCAGGCAGGTCGATTGGGGAACAGGAAGACTAAAAGCAGCAACTCAAGGTCTGAGGGCGAAGTCGTACTGCTGACTGTACAGAGGTGTGACAGCAGTAAGGTGTTTCCCTCGGACAACCAGCATCTGCAGCGATGCTGCCTTCTCATAAGGAAGGAAGGGGTTATAAAAGGTCGACCCTAAAAATGTCACACCTCACCTTACCCCACGGATTTCCGTCTCCGGCGGTAAGGCCGTTTGAAGAACGGAGCTAACAAATTAAAAACCTCCCACAAAAAGGCCGTGCCCGACCGACCTCAAGCAGTTGTTCCTTGGGCTCTGCGGTCACGCACCCAGGTCGCAAAGACCAACAATAATCCGATTTCCTTTTCAGGTTCCTCAAGAAATACCCTTCCACGGTGTGGGCAACCGGGAAGTGACATCAGCCCTCATACCCGTAACAGCACACGAGACCAAGTTGGTCACATTCAAATCCTTCCTACACCTAATAACTCTCTTATCTCCACGACCAACCCTTCTCACGTCCCTTTATCACCTCGCACCGCTAGTGCAAAACGATTCGAGTACGCGGAACGTTATTCCTGGTCTCCTGAAACCACGCTCTAAACTACACGTAGGAGCTTTCAACGTCCAAACACTGTGCCAATTAGGACAACAGGCTTCCTTAGCTAAGACTTTAGAATCTCGCTCCATCGATGTGTGCTGCGTCTCCGAAACGCGCACACAGGATCCTAGTAGTGTCATTCATTTGACCGCACCATGTCAAAGTAACGAACCAACTCGATTTACGCTTCGTGTATCTGGAAGCCCTGATGCTGCTTCCCGTGACCTCGCTGGCGTAGGTATAGCATTGAGTTCTAGGGCAAAACTAGCTCTCTTAGACTGGATCCCAGTAGACAGTCGTTTGTGCGCTGTCCGACTAAACGGAACAGTAAGGACTCGGAAAGATAGGGACACTCGTCGTTGCCTGTTCGTCGTCTCTGCCTACTCTCCCACTGACTGCAGCTCAGATGATGTAAAAGATGAGTTTTACAGAAAGCTTTCCGACCTTCTCCGAAAAGCCAGGCGTTCAGATGTAGTAATAGTGGCTGGGGACTTTAATGCTCAAATAGATAAACTAAGCGAAAGGGAAAGACACCTGGGTGAATCTTATGGTGTCGCGGCTCGAAGAACAGATAACGGCGACCGTCTGTTGCAACTACGCTCGGCTAACCGCCTGTTTCTTGCAAACACTAACTTTAAGCATAAGGAAAAACATCTTTTAACATGGTGACCCCCTAATTCGTCCCAATGCTGGACCCAAATAGATCACATCGCTATCAGCCACCGATGGAGGGGCTCGATAGAAGACTGTCGCTCACTCTGGTGCACATGCTTAGACTCAGATCATGCTCTAGTGCGAGCGCGTATTTGTCTACGCCTTACTGGACGTAGGAAGATGGTGCAAGGAAACTCCTTAGGGTCCTACTTATTGATAGTCAAGCTAAAAGTATATTTCAGGAACAACTAGAAAAAACAGTTAGGCAGCCATGTAACTAATTCCCACCCCGAGGCAGCGTGAAATGACATCCGAAAAGCTGTTGAAACAGCAGTGATGTCTGCAAGTACGGTAAACCATAAGGTTGGGGAGAAACACTGGATCTTAGCAGCATCTACCGCACTGATAGATGCTCGAAAACTCATTCCACCTGGCTCTGAACATAACGAAGAGCGGAGTCAGCTTAAGCGTAAGCTGACTAGAAGCTTACGCAATGATCGTGAACAGTGGTGGGTAGCGAAAGCAAGAGAGATGAAAAAGGCAGCGGCAATAGGTAACAGCAGGCAACTGTTCAGACTTGTTAAGGAAACCGGTATTATGAACCCAACTGTTAGCGAAACAATCTCAGAGAAAGATGGACATATTATTCATTCTCAATCCAGGAGATTGGATCGATGGGCAGAACACTTTAGGGATCAGTTCAACTGGCCTTCAGCCACACTTCGGTTTCTCACGATGTCCAATCTACATGAATGGCAAATTAATGTAAGTCCTCCGACTCTTTACGAAGTTGAAAAAGCTATAGGAAATCTGAAGCGTGGGAGAGCAGCACGCCCTGACAGGTTTACCCCTGGGATTTTTAAGGATGGTGGTCCAGTATTAGCAGCGAGATTGACAGAGGTCTTAGGTAGAATCTGGGAACTGGACGTAATCCCATCTGACTGGTCTCAATCACTGATTGTGCCAGTCTATAAGAAAGGACAAAAGTCTTCTTGTGACAATCACAGAGGAATTAGTTTGACTAACATAGTGTCTAAAACATTAGCTTCAATAATAGTTCGACGTCTAACCAAAGCTCGTGAAGAGCAGACTAGCGAAAACCAGGCTGGTTTTCGACCTGGACGTGGTTGTATAGATCAAATATTCACACCACGTCAGATCCTAGAACATAGACACACATTCAGACTCCCCCCAATGATAGTATTTCTCGACCTTAAGGCGGCATTCGACTCTGTTGATTGTGAGATTCTATGGCAGTGTTTGTCACTGAAAGGAGTACCAAAGAAGTACATTAACCTTATAAAGGCTCTCTACTTGAACACAACCGGTAGAGTGAGAGCTTATGGCGAACTGTCATCAGAACTGATTACCTCAAGTGGTGTTCGTCAGGGCTGTTTACTCTCTCCATTCTTGTTTAACTTTGTTGTTGACGTCCTTTTAGAGATGACACTTTCCTCATCTAAATTTCTAGGAGTTGAACTTCTACCGGGAGATCCGCTTGTTGACTTAGAATATGCCGATGACATAGCTTTATTTAGTGAAGACGCTGACAAAATGCAGAGTCTGCTGACCACTCTAAGCAACAATGCAGGCATGTTCGGCATGCGATTTTCTCCCTCGAAATGCAAAATGTTGCTTCTGGATTGGGTTGCGTCGGCACCCAAACTAGTGATAGGGAGTGAAGTAGTTGAGCGTGTCGACCGCTTCACTTATCTCGGAAGTCTCATCAGCCCTTGTGGTCTGGTGTGTGACGAAATCTCAGTACGGATACAGAAGGCTCGACTAGCTTTTGCCAACTTGCGTCATTTGTGGCGTAGGCGAGGTATCCGTCTATCAACCAAAGGACGTGTTTACTGTGCAGCAGTTCGTTCCGTCCTACTTCATGGCAGTGAAACATGGCCAGTAAGAGTAGAGGATATTCGTAGGTTACTAGTATTTGATCATAGGTGTCTTCGAAACATTGCTCGTATATCCTGGGACCACCGAGTAAGTAATGCAGTTGTTAGGAAACGGGTACTAGGTAAGGATGGCAAATCAATTGATGAAGTAGTGAAACTTAATCAGTTGAGATGGCTGGGACATGTGCTGCGCATGCCCGACCACCGACTGCCCCGACGTGCGATGTTTTCTGGTGTAGGAGTAGGTTGGAAGAAAGCTAGGGGCGGCCAGACTAAAACATGGCACAAATCCATGAAGTCTCTGACAAGTAGAGTGAGCCATATTGGTAGATGTAGACTACTTGGTTGGGGTCCGCGAGACGATAGCAACCGATGGTTAGAGACTTTGAATGACATGGCCCAAATTCGTTTGCAATGGCGCAGGTACATCCACTCTGTGTTCTCTCAAACTCTAATCTTCTGTATTCTTCATGTCCTTTATTTTCTTTCCAAATCTATTCCACTGGACTATACTCCTTAAATAACATCATCAAACCCTAATGTTCCCTATCACTACCTCTTCCACTACGGGATTTGAATCGATAACTGAATCTCTGTGCTAATGTGGTATGGCAACTCGAACTGATGTACGTACGTACGAAGTTCCACGTTGTAACTGACTGACTGACTGATATCAGATAACGAACGTATCAACTCTAGTAGAATATTTGACTGGATGAGTCAGGGGTTTGACATCCAGCTACTAGGTCGCAAGTAGGAACTCCACCCCAAATTCTTTGGTTTGGGTAGCCAGTTAGTATTTTCAGCTCACATAAAGTGTAGCTGCTACCACAGCAACTGTTGAATGAGTTATTCTTTTCATAAAATATTTGTTTACCTTAGTAAGGTCGAATTATTTATTATTTATTTTAACACATAGATATTGGTACAAGGAGGCACCATATACATATGCGCCACACGAATCTCAATTGATTTGTGTGAGGGCTGTGATACTGCCCGGGTGCCCAAACCGAAGCAGATGGTTTTCTTAGGAGGCCACACCCCGAGCCTTTGACCTGAACGTCTGACCCACAAGGCAGTGGAGCATCGTAAGGAGATGCAGTCCCATGGTAGCCGGTGACCAACGATTGGTTCATACGCCATTTGTTCCTTCAGGATATTGGAGCCCATGTGCACCATTGGATTGGGATCCGGTTAAAGCGCCGGAAATTCGCTTTTCGTCCTCTCAATTTCGTAGACAACACCCCCGCCACGAGAAGACAGTGAGTAGGACTTCCCTGGCAGAGGCTATAAAGTCTATAGCGGAGTAATTGATCGATTTAATACGGTTTGACATGGGCAATGTTACAAGGTCACTCGAACAAGAGTCAAACGCTATTTTCCCATTTAGTATGAACAGTATATGAATATGAACCTCATATTATTCCTTAAGCAGACCGATAAATCCTCTGCTTCGCTATTTGAAATAGATGTATAGGATAACACGACTAGGATAATAAGAATAACAAATTGTTACTAAGTTCGAGAAATTACATTCATTGAATGTAAACTTTATTGAATTTCGTTGAGACATCTATTGAATGTCTAGAGAACTACATTTCTGGTTAATTGTAGAGTCAAAAGAACAAATGGCAAACCGACTAAACTTCAAAACCTTAGAAAACTTATTTTCCTTTTTAATACTCGCCTTTTTTAATATGCGCCTTCTTAACAGCCTCCCTTGTTAACGTTTATCCTTTTGATAGTGCCCTTACGAATGTATACTAGCGATCATCACTCAAGCCTAAAATCAAATATAGACGTACTTTCGCTTATGTTTTAAATCCGACCACATAAGTTTTGAAGCATCTGTAGTAAGCCCACTCAACTATTTCATTATTTGTCTACTCGCTGTAATTTAGACATTCAACCCACTGTGTAAAACTATGTGTGGGTCTAATTGGGCACATGCCTGCACATTAATCTATCTATTCTCCAATTGGTTGTAAACACAGACAATCAATTTATCCACAATCGATTAAAACTCATAAATATATATGGATTTTCAACACACACACTCGATTCTCTGTGTGCTTGAGGATTTTTACTAATCATTAATAAACTATCTCTACAACTGGCGTTTCGGGCTTTTGGATAATCTTGAGTAAATTCATAATATTATTGGAGATTTAGCCTGCGTAAATACTCACTTAACGGGATACTCTCTATTGGAGTTAGATATAGAGGAAATTAACCTTTACACGTTCATTAAATAGGGAATCATCAAGATCTACTGGTCTTATATATATGCTAAAGGTTGTTGTGAGGCGTTACAGATGCCATTAGAGTATTGGGTTTTATGCCGATTGATTCTGCTTTATATTACTATAATTGCGTAGCTTGTCCCTTTCTAATTTCATTTATTTTCACGAGACCAGGTCCAGGTCTTGTCACCGTCATCCCTTTAGTGGTAAGCAAACACACGTAATGAAATCGCAGGTGGTTGAAGAGTAATGTCTTCAGAGGAGGAAGACACAATAAGTGCAATGTGATAAATTAAATAGGTAAAATCATCGTATGTAAAACCTAGATGTAAATCAGTAGAGGAAACATTTAAAATGATATCAGTTTACTTGATTAGTTGCAACTTCTAGTTGCATCTGAAGCTGCATCTTTTCTAAGTCCCGTAGACCCTGAAGATGTTTGGTTGATTTAACAGACATTGAGGTATGAAATGTTTCAAACTGCTCCGACAATATTTGTGGACCTAAAAGATATTTTGAATGCTGTAGATTCTTACCTGTAGCCCTAGGACAATTGACTACAGACTGCAACTTGGTCGTTTGGTTTTCATGAGACGATGTTTGACTACGAACTTCTGATTTGGTATTAGCAGGACTTGTATTAGTTTTCTTTGACACATGGGCAGTATCCGTTATTTTGACAGGTCTACTTTTATGGGCCCGGATATGACGTATTGATGGTATATTTAGCGTAGAAAGTGATGACCCGCCGTTTTGTGACATTTCTGACGTACAGCTCTCATCTCCATGCTTTGGTGATGGATTGCTGTAAGACTTTGATGAACCGCTATTACTCGAAAAGTCTGAAGACGACTAAGTCATTATTAACCCTCATACCTGAGACATTATCTTCTTGGTCAGACAAATCGTTGACCTCTCCTTCCTCTGCCTCATCAGGCTTTAAATGAGCATCTAGTACATATTCTATTAGGCAGTTAATTAGCTGGCCGGTACTTACTTTTATCAGTAATTCGTGACTCCACGTTTTCCCTGAAGATAAAAAGAAACTATTTAACGTTCAATACTTGTAACTAGATCTGGAACTCCAAACTTTACGTTGAAAATCCACTACTTTGGGAAGTTACTAAAAGCGAGTTACCAAAATAGTTCAGACTTAAAAGTTTTATTCTATGACGAGGCATAAATATATATGGAGGAACACTGAGATTACCGATGACACCTTAGTTGATGTCATGCATACACCCTAACCGCTCATTGAAACCCTTTTAGATTATCAGGGGATTAACTTCGAGGCCATATATTGCTTGCTCAAACAGCTATATATCCTAGTAACGAAGTCTTTTATAGTCTGTCAAGAGAAATATTCCGTAGATAAACATGAAACATGTCGCTTATTGTTGGAAATCAGTGAGACATTCCCATCATTCTTAACATGTTCCAAGAAAAACACAATAATGGACCAACCTGAGATCAATTTACTGAAGCAATACAGGGAGAATCTCGATTAACTAACCGTGAGAACAATGTGGGAAATATGGTCATTCGTCTTACAAGTACACACACGAGTCGATTGTAGACAAAAAAATCAGTTACAAGAGCCACGATAGGTAGCTAGTTACATTAAACTAATCAGGACAATGTAGTAAAAAACTATGCACACGATGAAATCAACCAATTGTGAAACAAGTCATGAACTGACTAGGAAACGTTTACTAAGGAAGACCATGTGGCCAAACATATTCAGGTTTGTATTTTTGTACTTTATTACTACAACAGGAGGATTCTTAAGCTAAATCCAACTAGGGAACAAGTAGTTAACACTAACTGTGGGATTAAAATTTCCTTTTCTAGATATACAGCTCGTGAAGAGCTGAGCTTTTGCGAGAAACTAAAAGTACCATGTTTTGAAGACAAATTATGGTCCATTATTGCCTAACTGAAGCATTTAACCTAAATTCGGAATGTTTGACTATGTCAAGTCATACGTCCGGAATTTTTAACTATAAACAAAACATTGTCACTGCCCCACGAACTAAAAAGCCTTAAGTATGACCGTACATTCAAAGAATGGAAAACAATATACACGAAGACGACAAATAACGGCCAAATCGACGACCGGCATATCCTCACATCAATATTAGAAATCCCGCCTGTGACGCATACTCAAACTACTAACCTAAAACTTCCTATCACGTTCCTCGAAACTTAAGAAGAGATTGACTTGCATGTGTTGTGGTCATCAGTCTATTTAACGGGCGTACATGGCTTGATCTCACAAGTGTATTCTGAGTTTCTTTTTTCTTGACGATGGAAAGCGTTCGGTAGTATGAGGATTGGTTGTTTCTTCATGAGGATCTGAGACTACTTAGCATTAGGATAAGCGACATTGAGCTAACTTTTAACCCTATGACTTGGTAGGCCATTCATGTTAAATGTAACGTGAAGTATAAGTATGATAGATGACACATTATTAAATACCTTTAGGTAGAAAGTGTTTTCAAGCCTAACTTCGCACAAAACTAGGCCTTGTAGCAAGTTTAAGTGGGTAGCTAAGCGGAAGCGTTGCCCAGTGACCTGCTGTTACAAGAGAAGCACCAGGAAACTTATTTACTCCTCTCATCATATTTATTATTTTCCTCTGTTGAACGACGAATGAATTTTCATGCGGGGCCGACCAAGGTTGAACTTTTCCACCTGCTTCACAGTATGAGTTGAATGAACTGCTTCGAATCTGCAGATTTGGAATCTACGATGCCTTTACTCTTAAAGAAGTAACGTCTCTTATCACTGTATAAAAGCCGTATACGCTTAAACCATATATGGGCAAATTAGTTCTTGACTACTAGCAATGCTTTTCAAACAGTCTGAAATCTAAGGGTTTCGTTTAGTCTTCGTGAATATTGTGCAACGTCATTTAGAGTGCAAAAACATGGTGTTTTTCGTCCATATTCAAAGGATAAAAACGTTTTGAAACGTATTATGACAACTAGCAGTGATCAAATTCAGTATGCTAACTATTAACACTCATAACTTTCTAATAAATGATCTGAAAGGGACTGCCCGTCAGAACAAACATCAAACGTATCCCTTTAGTGGTCGTAAAAGTCAGTTCTTGGTATAGATTTCAAAACCTGCGGATCAGCATACAAGTGTGCTAAATCTCTGTCCTGAGAATATAAAAGGGATTTTTACGTTAAACAAGGACTCGTTACATTTCTCTTCTAAGAATTTTTCAAATTAGCTGCTCAGATTCAGTCCAAACGTCGGTCATTGAACAAACACATACAAGCTACAATTATTATGTGCTAGTAACTTATACATATCTAAGTGCTGCGAAAAAGCCATTTCGAGTTTCGTCATACATACAATAAAAAACGAGTTTCAAAAATGTTTGCATAGTATTTATAACGTTTCAACAGGTTTTTTTTAAACCTAAAAGAATATTACCCAAATACTACATTTTTATATAGCTATGACTGGAAAATAGAGTAAGTGGTGTCGAATGCGTAATACTTTGGATCATGTTATGGAGTGCACTATTTATGTAGATGAATAAAGGCAAAATGTAACAGGGATTGAATGTAGAATACTCAACAGCATAAAATTGAAATAAAGAAAAGGGGTAAAAAACAAAGGACAAACGGAATAACAACAGGATTCAAAGCATGATGAAGTATGTGAAGGACGACTCAAGGAAAATATGTAAATGATGCATTTGATGCTTTACTGTCATAACTAAAAAGGTACTGTGTAATTTTGCATAAGACAATAAATTGGTTTACCATACTTGAGTTCTCGTTCACCACAATGTGAGTGGTTATAAGAGTGTGAATATGAAGGAAGTAATTTACATTTGCTAAATCTTGGGAAATAACTGGGGCATATTTTAATAAGAAGCCAGGTATAGATAATTAGCAGACGGCAGTTAAGTCAAAACTTGCCGTCGTATTTCTACTAGCCACAATGTCATCTCAATAGAACAATGAATATTTTAGATTGTAAAATCCTGATCTGAAGAAATCGACTGGTCATGATGTGACTCTAATATTTATATTGAAGTCACGCCCTTTTCGAACGGAAAGTTCAGTCCTAACGTGGTTTGCATTTCTCAAACTTTTGCTGTGTTCTTACGCAACAAAAGTACCATTTCTGATCTAAAGAATCTATTCTGAGCTATAAGTTCGGTAGATTACTTTTTTGACTTTCGCCCAATTTATTAGTCAACTGTGGTTTTGCCCCAGCTTACTATTCGGTTTTTTTTCAGTTTTTCTCGTAAAGGCTAGTTCAGTTTACCTTATCCGTTTTTATCCCGTTTTTAGTGTGCTTTTTAGTGTATTTTTAACGGTCTTAGGCTTTTGCTAGCATCTATAATACAGTTTACGTCAATACAGTCATGAAAAATTCATGCAAACGACCTGGAGGCCGTTTTGCTGTTGCATCTGGCATGCAGAGAGACAACTGCAAAGGTTGCTTCCATGAAGCGTGCACAGATTTCATGGCAACTCCTTACAACAGACTCAGCAAGACGGATCATAATAGGGTATGTGTTACATGCAGCACGGATGCTGTAGTATTGCTGAGTAACATCATTGTCTTATTGACAGGCCTACGGAATAAGTTGTCAGCAAACTTGGAAAAAGACAGTCATAAAACAGGTAGACAAACAAGGGCACGTAATGAAAACAAGAATAGGGATATCGATAGTGTTATGATTTTATGTGCGGTTTACGATTACGTGACTTATCCACCAATCAGAATACGACTTATACAAATACTCGCACTATGACAAAACCAATGACGTCCAACCGGTCTGAGCAGTCCAGCGTCCTTAATTGGTCCTATATCCTTTTAACCCGTCTTCTTGAGTCCAGAACACAATACCAGCTTCTGTAATATGAATCGAATCATTTATTTCAGACATACTCGATTTATATATCAACCAGACAGACCACAACGTACTAATAAATAGAAAATAACATGTGTACACAAATAAGCCAAAAAGTGGCCGTGAACGCGGGAGATAGTAATTAATATACAGACCATAACTCAAGAGTAATAAATCGTATAGTAATAATCTATGGGTCAAATTAAAGCTTATAGTAAGTGGAATATAAATACACAAAATGTAATTCTTGAATAATTACACAATAAGAATATTTATAGAATATTAGGCCATTAATAGTCCTCGAAAGTTACCTGTAGTTTAATCTTCACTGGGATATAACAGATAGGTCTACCATCGATGGAGCATGCATTAGCTCTAATGATAACATGTTGAAACTCAGCACCATCATTACGTCGACGGTAATAGTCTCCCTCAGTAAACTCGGGTCTCCCAGCTCATGGTCCTTAGATGTAACAGTGGTTCCCAAAAACTTTGCAGGTGATTGGGCCCGCGTTAACAGAGCTAAAAAGGACCAGGCGTCACCGTCTAAGCTAAGTATCCCAAGTGTTGTACGGAAATCAACTGGTGATTTCATCGCTCAGTCTACCCCCAAAAATGTCCGCCCGGTTATCTCAAAGCCTAGGATTTAGAAACGTTCTTCGACCTCCAAACAATAACGTGCTGATTCTGAACACACCGGGAAACCTGGGAAAACGATAACGGTCCGTTATGACTCTCTCGTAATCATAAACCTCAAAGACAACCCTGAAATTTCTCTCTGTTTGCAGGACGAAAATGACAGGATGATCTAGGGTGAATTGAACAAAAAGCTTGAACTTCCTAGAATACAGCCTTTGACGGTCACACGCCTCACTGA